ACGTGTAGTCAGGATTTTTTTTAGGTCCACGACCACAAAGAAAAAAAAATACCTTGTTGTGAATGAATGAACACTTTATGAACCCCGAGCAGTGAAGGAAACAGTCGTCAAGGTTCCACGTTAAAAGAACTGAAAGGCGTAAAAAGAACTGAACCTCATAAAAAAGAAAAAGGGACATAAAATACCGGATTTCTACTGAGGGTTACATTTTTAGGGATGTTCTTGTTAAAGTTGAAACTTGAATAAGATAGAAACCATTTGCCCTTTTGGCAGAATTCTGACTTCATATCAGTCTTCTTGTTTATTTATTTTTTCAGCCCCCTAGGACTAACCTGAGTACAGCTGTAGTTACAAACAGCTTTGCAATACAACTGTGGTCTGATCCTCTTCTTGTCAGGAAGACAGTTTTGTTTTTTATTTAAAATGATTTATAGATTTTGTACATTTCAGCTTGGCTACGTCAGCAGCGTAGCCGCGGGCGGTCGTAAGTGCGCTGCGCTCTCCGACAGGAACGTCATGGGCTTCATCGCCAGCCTTCACGAATTGGCGTCAGCAGAGAGGAAGTTCTACTGTAAACTATCAGATGTCAAATCTGAGGTCATACGCCCCCTGCTGGAGCTGGGTGAGAATAAGTTTCCAAAGTAATGTTTACAGCTTGGTGCATCCGAATCCCACTCTTTATCCCCTCCCCCCGCCTGTTTGTCAGAGGCTCTGAGCTCGGCGCTGGGGCCGGTGGTCACCGAACTCCTGCAGACGTTGGCGGGTAGATTCGGTGTGTTGGCTCGTCTGACGGGCCAGCACGCCGCAAGCCTCACCGCCAGTCTCCGACGGGGCCGTGACGTAAAGACCCTTCTCATCCTCGACCACGCCAGCATCTTTCTAGACTTATATAACGAGTACGTATCCAGAAATCCCCTCTTTTTGTTGTTTTATTTTCACACTTAGACCAATCTTCTGTTTTTTTGTTTTTTGTTTTTATAGTTACTTCTCAGCTGTGGGTAACTTCTTCGTGATGGGTGGTTTCCATGCTCTTACAAAACCGTCCCTGTGAGTTGCCTCGCAGTTTTATTATGAAAAAAAAAAGTTTTACAAAACAAAGGGTTTATTCTTAGTTTTCTACTTTATTTATTTTTTTTATAAGGGACATCTTTGGGAAAACCCCCGAGCTGCTGCAGAGGCTGCTGGAAAGCGGCGAGGAGAACGCATCCACCTCCGACCTCCTCACTGCGCTCTTCTACCTCCCATTGCAGCACCTGCACGAATACAGTCGCCTGCTGCTCAAATTGACCACCTGCTTTGAAGTGGTAATGGAAGCAATGTGTGGTTTCAAAATCTCTGGAATCAAAATAAACTAAAACCTCTGAAATAAATCTTCATAGTTTTTGTTTTTTATTGCTTTTAGAGCTCCGGTGACTACCAGAAGCTGCAGGACACCTGCTCCAAGTTTGAAGCTCTGACTCTGCAGCTGAAGAGGAAAAGGAAAGAGGCTGAATACACCTTTCACTTCTGGAAGAGCTTTCCAGGGAAAATGACGGTACTTTTGCACCATTTCAGTCTTGATGTCTGAGTTTTTCGACAAGTAGCTAAGTGTGAGCTTCGTTTTTTTGATCAGGACTCCCTGAGGAAACCTCACCGCCGACTGATCTACGAAAGCAGCAACAAATCTCTGACCGTGCAGAATGCCGGGAGGTTCTCCGTCAACTGGTTCATCCTCTTCAATGACTCTCTGGTGCACGCGCAGGTCAGCCCCTCACACGTCTTCTTGTAGCGTCGCATGTTTTTGGCTGTTCTGCTTTTCTTTTTTTCCTCTCTGTTGTTTTTCAAGAGTTTGTGTGTGCTTGCCTCTGTGCTGTCAGGGCGTGGCACCTTGTAAAAACTTCGTAAGTATGCAGCCAGCTAAAGGTTTCAACTCTTACTCCAAGTCCCCGTCCTTCCTTCTTCATCGTTCTGTTTCCGTTTTTTTTTTTGTCTTGTCTGCTTTAAATTTAGGAGTTTAGAGCTTTAAATTATCAGATTTACTCAACAAGTAATTTCTTATCTGCATATAAAACCAAAAAGAACGGCTACTTGTATTTGTTATACTCTGAGAATTTATGCCAATTTACAGTTAAAACCTTAAAAAAACCTTAAAAATTAACAACTGAGGTCAGTAGATCGAATTTTTTTTCCTGACTTTGCTAAAACAACAGAATTGATAAATATTATACAGCAAAATATGATAAACCACATAAATTAAAAGTGAACACGTAGCCAATTTAAGTATTCCTAAACTACAATTTGATGAGGTAAAGAACACCTGTGCTAAAAACCACTGAACTTAAAGCACCAGTGTCTAAGATTTAGTGCCATCTAGTGGTTTGCTACGTAATTCCAAACACCTAAGTGTGTAATAACTACTATGGAAATTACAGGGTGTCATAAATGCGAAAATGTAAACATCCTGTATAAAATTAAGAATAGTCAGATGATGCCGTACAGAACAGTGCATAGTTCTGTTTTTTTTTTTTTTTTTATGCTAACAAGTAAAAATTTTAGCTACTGCTAACAGCCAAAGTCGCCTGCTGGTTTGACTTCTGTGTAGAATAACAGCGACCGATAAC